TTCTGGTTGTCAAGAGATTCCTCCGCCTCCTCGTCTGACACCTACGTTCGGACGAGGAGAGGCGGTCCTTCCTCAGAGAATCTCTATCGGGAATCCCGATTCTTCCCTGCTCGCGGCTTATATAGTCGCAGGCATGCCCGCGGCGCATGCTCACGCACGCGCCGCACGCTAATCGCAGCGTCGCAGGCACTCGCGCATGCTTGATCTCGCCACTATCGCCCCTGGATGGTGGCGGCACCTAACGGCAAAGACTCGCTATTCTGTACCACCACCCTCCAGGAGGTGGCGACCCCTAACGGCGCCGGGGCGCCGCGAGCACTTAATATGGGCGCTGGTGTTGGCGCTGATAGGTGTTCATGCCTCATTTGCTGCATCTAAGCCGCTTGGACTAAATTACACAGATGGCCGAACATTTAGTGTCAGTTCGCATTATTGTCTTAATATGGTCAATGCTATATCGCTATGCCAAATATATTGCAGTCGCCGCACGTCCGCACCAGATGATTAGGATCCCCCCTCGGTTAACCCTTTAATCTCCCAGCGCCGGCGCGGGCAGCGGCAGCGGCGCAGCAGCAGCGGCGCATCCCGGCTTGCACGGAGCTATTGATCGCCTCTGGTTGCGAGGGGCAACGCTGTTCAATCAATACCTCCGCGTCTGTCGCCCGCCTGTTGATATGGCAGCGACGTGGGGCGATTGCGTTGGGTGTGGGGGGGGTACCTTGTAACGAGCGGCGTTACATCTGATCAATTTTCCAAATGTGTTTCTTTCTGGAAATATAATAATGCTTTGGCTGTGCTATCCTCTGTAACGTAAACACATTCGAAACGGTTCACCACAGATTAATGAAGATTTTTTAGAGTTTGGCTCAAACTTTAATGATGGCACCCAGTCTGAATTAGTATGCAAGTTTGCTGGCTATATTTGAAACTGCAGGGGTTTCTGATGACCTCTTTCTCGTGCCTTGACATGTGACAAGTTTATTGATATCTAAAAGAATTATTCATCCGTGATGCATACCTATTTCATGCAATGTGATTCTTTGCTTGAAATAATTGTGTTCTCACAAGTGGAGCGCCCGATTGCGGCACTGTGCATTGGCAGCACCGAGTGGATTAGACAGCTGCAAGAAACTGCCTAGTCTTCTTGTCACGAGACCAATTTATCTGCAAAGTCTATTAAACCACTGATGTGGGATAAGGAGTCTGGTTTGGCACAGGGCACGTGTCTTTGCCGTGGATTGCTTTTATTGTAGACGCTATTGTAGCAGTTAGAATTAGTGAAATTTTTCGAAGAATTTCTCCAAACGCTGTTCTCACTGTAGGTTTTGTCCCTTTCTACTTTTCTTCTATAATTCTCACTATGCACTCCATCACTTCCTTCTATCTGAAACACCAATTTACCACTACCCTTGGCACAGTCGTATGCTTTCTCCAGATCTAGTTATGCGTAGAAAAGCCTATTCCCATCCAAGCTCTTCTTTTGCACTTGCCTCATTCTAAAAATGACATCCACTGTACTCTTTCCTTTCGTGAAACCATACTGCATTTCATCTATATGAACTTCTACCCTTAGCCTCCTTAAATTATACTTTCCAGTATCTTTACTGCATGCTCCATGAGCTTGATTCCTCTGTAATTATAGTATACTGGGGGAATACGGGACACCTAAGGGCGTATGCGTAGCTGTACTCAATTATGTACAATATTTGCTACAACACCTAGAGTGATAGCTTATCAAGTAGGTCAACCTACAGAGACGGGTGGCTCAGGGGGTAAGTTACCAGTCATGGGTAAAACGGGACACCCATTAGAAACCAAAAATTATTTGTGAAAGCTGGCTATTATGCCTTCATTGGAGCACTCACAATAATGATAACAACAGGAATTCAGGAATAAACGGGCTTTATTCAGAGACGATTAAGTACACCGGCTAACTCACACATATTGGCCGCCAAGCAGAGAATGAGAGCGCGCGTCTCGCGCATGCGCCAACACTGCGCCACCTTCCGACACTATCCTATGTGGAAACTGTGCCGCCGTCACAAATTGATTAATTGGATGCATTTGCATGGTTTGATGATAAAACATATACGAAAATCAATATTACATGCATAGACAAATAATTACAGGGTCTCCCATATTACCCCATGACTGTCCCATATTACCCCAATAACGAAAATGTACAACAATGTATAGATTTCACAAATAGAACTTCATTTAAAGCCTGATCCTGCACACTCTTCACAAACAAAATCATAGAATTGCTTTCCAAAGACTCTGGCACAAGTTTCATGGAACCAGGTGAAGCAAGCTGGGCATTGTATCCACCCCTCTGAATCATCTGGATCGTCATCGTAATAGTTTCCCTCACAACGTCCACAGATATTTGATGGATCATCACGGTCAATGGTGGTCTTCTTCTGGCCACCTGCTGCAGCAGTAGATTTCGAGCAGGAGGGAGCAGGTTCCTGTTTACGCTTAGTTGAACTTTTGGATTTACTCGCCGGGCACAATTTCCATTTGACACTGCAGATTTTCCATTTGGTACTGCAGATTTTCCTTTAGAATTTGCTGATTTTTTTCGGCTTTGAGCTTTTTTCTTTTGTTTCTTTGCTTTTTTCTCTTTTTCAGCAGCTTTTTTATTTTGCAGTTCAAGTTAGTTCAGCAAGTCTTTTTGGTAATTTTCACCTGTCAAATGCTTTGACCCTGTTTTGAAATAGTTTCGGGTCGATACGTACCTGCATTATTTTCGCTGGTATGACGTTCAGCTTTGTCCAGGTATCTCGCGATATGAAGCTCCGCTGCATTCCAGGAACCATTCTGGCATGCTCGGCTTCGCGACGCTTCACCTCCCGTTCGTACATGTCATAGATGCTGTGCCATCCAAAGCCAATCTCCTCACCATCATGCAATCTTATGAAGGACTTCGTGCCACGTTGAAGCGATGAAAACAGCATTTACCATGTTTTTAAGCTGCAAAAAATCGTTTTCATTCAAGTTTATTGTTAGCTCATTAGTTATTCACGCTCATAATACGTCACAAAGAAATTCCTATTCCATCTGTAAATAGTAATCGCGTAATTTTAATTATTGCTATGTGAGATATGTAAAACGAGGTATGTATGCATTGCTATGTTCATATGTATCATAATGAAGTATGTAAAAAATTGTAAATCACATTATTTTACTGCGTTTGTTAGTCAGTAACCTAATAAATATTTTGGCATTGCTTCTAATTTAATGATTTTGTGTCATTTTATTTGACTGTCAACAAAAGAAATATGTAAAGATTCTACTTACTTGGTGCGATGGACAGATGACAAAGTGCACCCGGTACGTTGGATCGAATGGGTGGGTGAACCATGGCTCGATGTCCTGTGTGGATCTCTTGTAGTACCCTGGCATTTCTCCCGTCCACGCTCTGATTGCAGCCTCATGGTTTCCGCAAGGCAGGCTGTGAGGAATTTATGTTCCAGAGAAGATTCCGTGGCGAAGTAGGACCCTATGACGTCATATGCAGATTTCAGGTCTATCCAAAGAAACTGCAGTACAGACTGCGCTGGTGCTATCCGCTTTTTTGATTCAAGGGTTTCATAAACGTCGTGAAGGCTGCTGACATCGTCTGGTGTTAGTGCGATGCCGTACATTTGCTGATTCTTGCTGTTCCACATCACCTTACTGATGACACGTACTTCATCAAGAATCAGTACACCCTCTCCCTTCGGTACTTCATGTCCTTCAGAAACCTTTATTTGAAGCTGCGATAGTATTCTGCTGCAGCATGCAGATTTTTTTCAGACAGCCCGCTGACCTCTAGCGCAGTTTCCATCTGCATTTGCAGACTGCGGATGCATGGCAGCTGCAGTATTTGCAGTTTTCTGAGGGCCTTGTAAGCTGCCGGACTTCGTGAGAAGATAGCCAATGCTGCAGAAACAATTTAAAATTGACTGTAACAAGGATAATTAATTACTGCTAGGCGTGTGATTCTAGCTCCAATTACATACTGTTGAACGTGCAGATACAAAAACAGATATCAGAATTTTAATGTTTAACTGATACCCTCAGGACTGGGTTAAAGGAGAAAATTGGACATCCCCATCACAATCATTGTGAAACAGTTTGAGTAAACAAGCATTATGGTTGTTTCAAAATAATTTATCAAACGGTTTCCATACAAACTGTGCACGTGTGCTTGTGTACAAACAGTACTACCATTACCTCTGCCCGAGAACGATGAGCTCGCCAAATGACATAAGTTCTAGCAGCGATACGGAGAGTGATGGAGAAATATTACTTACCCCTGACTTATAAATTTTACTTTTGCGTCGAATAAATCGAGTCGACCAAGCGCAAATGTTTGTTGTGATATCACGGACCTCTCCTCCACACTGAACAGTTCCACAGTAATGGCTCGCCCCATCCTCCGCACGGAGTGTATATTTAGCATTATAAACGACGTGAATATTTTGAAACCTGTACACATTACATTTTTTCCTACACATATATGCAATCATCAATGTCATACCTTATTTCTGTGCTGCGAACTACATTCCAGCGGCTTCCCTTTAAGAAATATTTATGGGTTTGATGCAGAGATCCTTTTTGACAAGAAAGCAGGGACTCGGTATCTGAATATCCAAAGACAAACCATGCTTGGCATGCGAAAATGTTGAGATCAATTATAAGAAACTTACCCATTCTGTATGTAACAGTCGACCATATGTTGGAATTGTTTCCACTTCCTGAATAAGAAAAGTTATGCATAAATGAACCAAACTTACTACCAGGAGACACTTGTAATATTTTTAATTAAAAACAATGCATTAGAGCTAAAACAGTTTGTTACTGTCATGATTGTGTAAACACAAACAAGATATTTAACCTTATGTAGATTCGTTTTATTCAAGAAACGTAGCTGAACTGAACACGAGATTACAAACCGCCATGACGAACTCCCGTAGCTCCCCCTGGCTCTCAAATATCTAACTAAAAGATAGACAACTCTCCTACAGGGCGCTATCGTCAGTAATCATTATGACATCTCCTTTCCTTTGAGATAAACATCTTATTCTATAGCATGAATGACTTTGAATGACAAAAGATCAACTTTTCAATAATGCTAACCAAACGACACTTAACACTAATTCAGACAGTAGGGTAGACTGCCCACTGTCTGGACGGACTTGCGGCCCCGGTTTTTGCGCGCAGCGCACAGCTCGCGGCGAAGCCGCGCCCTAACGCGAATACGCC